AAGCTGAGTCAGGAATTTAACCCTGTCTTATTCCCAAAAGCTTTAGAGAGGAAAGCATTTTGGTTACTTCTGTCCCATCTCCATTTGAGCCTCTAGATTCACTGTCACTCTCCACTCTGCTCCATGCCCTGGGGAGACTGACCAGCACGGTCTGCGTCCCTCTGGGCTCAGCCGGTGAGGACCTCCATGGGAGACTGGAGGGTGGGAGGAGAGCGAAGGGTCCCAGCCTGGCTGTGGCCCTCTGCTCACCCTCAGGCCTGAGGATGGTACGGACTCCACTGTCACTACCTCCAGCTTCTCCCCTGTGGTTTCTCTGCACCCTTGTAAGTAACTCCTTTATTATATATATGCAATGGAATATTACTCAGCCATAAAAAGAATGAAATCTTGCCTTTTGCGACCATATGGATGAACCTAGAGGGAATTATGCTAAGTAAAATAACTCAGACAGAGAAAGACACACACAATATAATTTCACTTACATGTGGAATCTAAAAGAACAAAATAAACGAACAAGCAAAACAGAAGCAGACTCACAGGTAGAACATTTTGACAGTTGCCAGATGGGAGAGGGGTGCTGGCTGAAAAAGGTGAAGGGATTAAGAAGCACAGACTGCCAGTTATGAAAACAGTCAAAGAACAGCGTAGGGAGTATAGTCAATAATATTGCAATAACTATATATGGTGTCAGATTGGTACTAGATTTATCGGGGTAATCACTTCATAAGTTTTATAAATGCATAATAACTATGTTGTACAACTTAGACAATATAATAGTGTATGCCAACTATATTTAAAAATTATTAAAAATAAATAAGTAAATAGCCCCTTTATTAAATGCTATTCAGATTCTTGATTTCAGTGGGCTATCTGCTGGTTCCTGCCGACCTCAGTGACCATGGGTAGGCACTGTGCACCTCAGAGCGGGCTCTCCCTCCGCAGACGCTGGGCTCCTGGAAGGAGGGGCCGTGTCTACGCCTGTCCGCAGGTCCATGAAGAGGGTGGCTCATAGAAGACACAGGGAAATGTCCTTGACTCCAAATGCACCAAAGTACCAATACTACCACACACATGAGACTGAACGAATGGAATTGCATCAGATTCATCCATTCTGGCCAGGCCCGCTCACTCGTTCATCCACACCCCTGCAAGCCTCGTGTGCCAAGCTCTGGTGGGCGGACAAGCGGAAAACTGCCCTCATGGGTCTGGCACTATAGTGAGAGGGTCAGGAGTGAAGGAGCAAGAGCAAAAGCAAAAGCACACTGTTTCAGGGGGTGGTACATTCTATGATGAAAATAAAGTAAGCCCAAGGCGGGGCCAAGAGGCAGGTGTGCACAGTGATGATATGCGGTCAGGGGGCGTGTGGTCAGTGAAGGATGTGGAGGATCCAGGTCAGGCAATGCTCTGGAGCAAGGACATTCCACACAGAGGGACCAGCACATAGAATGGCTGTGTGGGAACAACCTTGGTTCACTGCAGAACAGCAGGGGACCAGGCAGGTTGGGCAGGCTGAGTGCGGGAGACTCGTAGGAGATGGGGTGGGAGCTCGCTTTCTTGTCAGGCCCCTTCCAGCTCCGGGATTTGAGGGCTCCTCAGGGAAGCCCTTGCCGTCCAGCCATCCAGGAGAAGGCCCCGCGGGGGGTGCTCTCCCCAGGCCCTCTCAGTCCTCGCCATAAGCTTGTGAGGAGGGTCATTCTACCCCCATTCCACACATACAGAAACTGAGGCTCAGAGAGACTGAGCAACCTGCCCAAGGTCACACAGAGGCACGGGAAGAACTGGAAATGCACCCAGGTCTGCCTGACCTGCAGTCCAGAAGGTATTTTCCCGGGACAAGCATATCCATTGGCCAAGGGCTCCCTCGTCAGTAACACCGGCCCTGCAGGGACAGGCTGGAAGGAGGACCCCACGCTCCCAGCTAGGGGAAGGCCCGTCCCAAGGCCACACGGCCCAGGCGGAGGGAGCGGGGGTTCACGCCCGGCTCTGTCCACAGCCCCCCACTCTCCAAGCAGGCGAGCTTGGCAGGTGGGCAGGAAGGCGGCACCGCGCTCGCCAGGCCCTGACACTCTTCCAGGGCCAGGGCGTGTCGGCTAATGGATATTATTTCAGACCTTTCATTTCTAATAGACACTGTGCTGTCACAAAGACTGTTATTTCCTGTGGCTCATGCAGGATAATCAATGTGCTGGCTGCCCCGAGAGCGGGAATGGCAGTACCTGGGCACGTTTGTGAAGATAAAACCACCCTTCCTCTCTCCGTCCTTCCATGTCCTTCCCAACCAGGCACAGCTGTGATGTTTGAGGGCATGCGCCTGGGGTCCCAAGAGGACCCAGCTCTCTGCATAGCGCCCCAGCTTAGGGAAAAACCGACCCCTCTCAGACTAGCCTCACCATTTCGTAGCCATGTACTCGTGGGCACAGCACTTTCCCTCCCCAAGCCTCAGTTTCCTCATCTGTAAAATGGGGGCCCTTCATGTCGGCCTCACAGGGTGGCTTACGTGAGTGAGATGACATCTTAAACACCTGCCACGCCGTCGGTGCTTAGGAGGTGCGAGCTATGGCAGTGACAGGGCTGGAGGTGACAGTGATGCTCCTCACATTTGGAAAACAGGGAAAATGAGGCCAGAGCAGGGAGCGGGCTCTGCCAAGGTCACCCAGCAAGGCAGCAGCAAAGCTGGGCTGAGAGCCTGGGTTTCCAGGCCAGAGCTTCTGCATGGTCAGTGGTAACAACGGGGTTTCGTTGCCTCCTTCCCGTGCCCTGGGCACTGCCACCCATTGTCTCACCTCATCCTCGCGATGAGCTGATGCAGCAGGCCCACGGTGGCACAGCCAGCAAGGAGTGGAGCCCTGGGGGTCTGGCTTAACCTTGGTGGTCTGGCTGCAGAGCCCGCGCTCTGGCCTCTCTGCGCTGGCCCTTGGAGATCAGCCGCTGAGGCCCACAACTTTCCCACGTGTGCACGTACACAAACACAATCACACACTCAGCTTTGAGGATTAGGCTTCGCACAGGCTGAGCCATCATCCCACACACCTTGATGAGCTGACAAGGATGAGGCCAGCTTGGGCTCACCTGTTTCAGGTCCCACAGGGCCCACCCATGGGTTCTGGAGGGCAGAACCTGGGGGGCACCCACAGAGCGTATCTGCTTTGTGTTCTGTTCTTTCCAGACAGGGAAACCGAGACCCAGTTGGTCTGGGAGGAGTTTACAATGCAAGCTGGTGCCGGTATCTTGGCTCAGTGGCTGGAAGTATCTGAGAGTGAGAAGGTGCGTGGGAGAGAAAGAGGAGGGGCCTCTGCTCCAAGCGCCCCGGGTCGCAGTCAGGCCTCTCCCCTGCTGTCACAGCCATTACCCCGACAGATCTCCCTAATTCATCATGTTGCTACTTCCTCACGGCAAGCTGTGATCTATGGTCCCGTTTTGCAGGTGGAGATATCAAGGCTTATAGAATCAAAGTGGCTCACACAATTAATAAGAACTTGGACTTGAACACACTTCTTCTAATGTCCAGGCAACTCTTTCCCCCGCTTAATTCATTTCTTACATTGTTGGCTCTCTTCTCCTTAGTTCTTGACTCTGCAGGTTACCCAGGCACCTGCCCTCCAGACCCTGATTTTGCTACACCCGACCATAAGCACCTTGAAGGTGGGAATTTGTCTGATGTGTTGGCTGTTGTGAGCCTGGAGCCGGTCACAACAGCAGCTACAAAGCTGGAAGCCAGTGGGTACTTATTGGATTGTTGAAGGAATTGTAATTAATTGTAATTGGGCTACAGTTTATAAAATTGATACCAGTGGTCAGAACGGTCAATTTGGAGATTTCTATTATTGAGGAAGGTTTTAATCGAATGATTTATTATGCGATACAAAGGTAAACAGGGGAAAGTGGTGTATTACAAATGCATTGTTTGTTTCTTTTTCATTAACAAGATTGCTCTACTTCTTGGTATGTAGAGCTCTGGGGAGGGTGTGCTGGTTTACACAAAGAAGTCTGGGGTCTTCCCACAGGTCAGCATTCAGAACCCAGCCCTGCTCCCTGTGGTGGGAACTTAGGAAAATGTGGGCGGACTGACGTAGCTCTGAGTAGACTGGAGTAGCTCTGAGCGAAGCCCAACAGCAGCAGAAGGTCCAGAGGGCTCCAAGAGAACTCATCTGGAGAGGAAGGGTGGGCTGGTAACCTAAACACAACATCACGGGTGGGGAGGACATGGGACTTCAATCAGTTTTTCAGTCAAGGACCACAAGATATTTGGGGAAGAATGCTAACATGATAGAGACACCAGACCTCAGCTCACTTCACTGCTGAGCGCAGTGTGGGCCTGCCTGTGGTTTGTACAGGGCTCTGCCCTGGCAGGGCACAGCCACCTCAGTGGGCAGGTGGGCATTCACCAGGATGCACATGGCCAGTCTTCAACAGCGACACCTTGTGGCAGGGCCCAAATTGGTAGTGCTAGATAGGGCTTTTGCCCACCTCCCTGTTCTGGAGTCTGGAGTCAGGTCCGGGCTGCTTTAGACGAAGTCCTCAGGGTTCTTGGGTCGTTTCGCAGAGAGTGAAGGCTCCTGGATGGACAAGGAATGTCCTGCTAATGGAGGCTTAGGATGAGCTATTAGTTGGAAAAATAAGAGATGTCCTTATTTGTACCCTGAGTTGGTGCAACACTCTTACAAGTTACAGAATGAGTCAGCTTTATCCACTCTGTCTCCAGTAAGAGTAACACACACAGTTCTTTTGTATCCTTAACATTAATAACAACAATTGCATACACATACATGCCATGCTATAGTTTACGAAGCTCTTATCCATTCACGCCCTTCTCTGAGCCTCATGTCAACCCTGTGAGATGAGCATGGCAGAAGAAATGTTCTTAGGAAACTGAAGCTCAGAGAGGGACAGTGACTTGCCCGTGGTCCCCAACAAGTCAACAAGGCCTGGTTCTGCCTCTTTTGCAGGGTTCCCAAGCTACCTCCCAGGGATGCCAGTGGCCAGGTCCCTACCTGGCCTGCTCACAGCAGCATCAGGACCACGATGGCAATGACCATGAGGACTGCAGCCAGGATGCAAAGGCCCAGGAAGACAATGTCACTGATGTCCTGGGGCACCATAGCCACGGGGCCCTCCACTACGTCCACCTCATCCCTGGGCGGTGCTTCCTGAAGGTGCTCGGCCGCGGCAGCATAGGGCCCAAGCCAGTGGGAGCCGGACAGCAGGTGGACAGACGCCTCCTTGCGCCGGGGCTCACAGCGGACCTCGTACTCATGGATGTCGTCCTGCCCGCCAGCCGAGAAGTCGATGTATAGCACGCTGACGATCACTGAAGTATTGTTCCTTCTCTGTGAGGGGCATGGGGTGCTCACTTATACCCGAAGGGGCCCAGAGCTCACCCTGTCCCCCTAGATATCTGGGAGCTCAGTATCAAGGTGGCAGAACCCCAGGAGCCTGGGCTCTGCTCCCAGCTTTGTCACTGACTCCTTTCCCAGAGGGAGCCTCAGTGTCCCCACCTGTAGAAGGGGTGTTTCAAGGGTGTCCAGAAGGACAATATCAGATTTGATGGGTCAATGATTGTTCTGGCTTCAAAGAAGCAGGACCTATGATAGATAGTAACAATAACCACAGGGACATTTGCCACATTCCAGGCTTTGTATCTTAAGTGCATGATCTCATTTAATTCTCACAACCCTCTCTTATTGGTACCATTGATATCCCCACTTTACAGATGAGGAAACTGAGGCCTACAGGTTAAATCCCTTGTCTGAGGTCACACAGCACACTCGCAAGAGGGAACACATTCTCACCCAGATCTTCCGATTCTTACTGTGCTCTTAGCCATCACACCTCACTCAAACCAAAGAACGTGGAACCAAATGGGACTTTCACGGCATCTAGTTCAACCTCTCTTCCTTGTCAATTTATGGATGTGACTACTGAGGCCTAGCAAAGGCAGTAACACCCGGAGCTACGTCCGGAAGGCGTCTCCTGCCTCCCAGATAGAAGCTCCGTCCCTGGTGCTGCGACCTTTCTTCTAGAATCTTTTCTCCAAGTTATGTCTGTAGCAATTAAGTGTCCCTGCTGTTGAGTACCTGGTCACCAGGGTGACACCGCCTTAAGGCTGGGAAGAGCCCTTGAGGCGTAAGATGTGAGAGGTTTGGCACCGTGTTGCCCTCCCCATCCCCATGGATGGGGGAGCCAGGGGTCACATTGCCCTGAGACGCTGAGGTGTTAGGTCCAGGCCCTGGGGGGCAGTATTTTGATGGGCAGTCTGATGTGATCTGGGGCGGGGGCTGCTGATGTGATCTGGGGCGGGGGCTGCTGTGACACAGGGCTACTCTCCCCACCCACCTCAAATCTGCAGTAGCTGCACACCCCTTGGGTTGCCCAACTGCCCCTGCCCAGTGGTGGGGCTTCTAAAAAGCAAAGCTGCCAAAGACAGCCCTGGCCGGTGTGGCTCATTTGGTTGGGCATCGCCCCACAAAGCCAAAGGTTACCAGTTTTATTCCCATTCAGGGCACATGTCTGGGTTGCCGATTGGGCCAGGTCTCCTATTGGGGGCAACCGATCAATGTTTTTCTCCCACATCAGTGTTTCTCTCCCTCTCTTTCTCCCTCTCTTCCCCTCTCTCTAAAAATAATTTAAAAAAAAAAAAAAAAAGCTGCCTAAAACAGAAAGAGCAGATCCAGCCACTCAGGAGAAGGGAGTTTTGGAGACCTGGCGACCTTGAGGGCCGCTTCCCGCTCTGGGCTTCTAAAAGGCTCTGAGTCCATGTCCCCAAGGAGCCTTCCTGCATTTGTGCCCTCAGCCAGTCACCCACCACACCCTTTGAAGAGGACTGGTGCCCTAGGTTTTTGTAACACAGAATCAGGACACTGGGCAAGAAAAGGGCAGCATCTGAGAGCGGAAGGGGACACAAAGGGCCAAAGTGAATCTTCATTATAAAGAAGGAAGACAAATCATAAAATGGGGTGTGGGAAAGTTTTGGATGAGTGAAAGGCTTGAGGAGGAAGGAAAGGCCACACAAGAGGCTACAGTTATGAAATCAAGTCTGCAGTGTTTTTTTTTAAATTATTATTTTTTTTATTTTAAAAGATTTTATTTATTTCTTTTTAGAGAGAGGGGAAGAGAGTGAGAAAGAGAGGATGAGAAACATCAATGTGTGGTTGCCTCTCACGCGCCCCCTACTGGGGATCTGGCCCACAACCCAGACATTTGCCCTGACTGGGAATCGAACCGGCGGCCCTTTGGTTTGCTGGCCATCACTCAGGCTACTGAGCCACACCAACCAGGACAAGTCTGTAGTGTTTTTTAAGTGATGCACAGGAATACTGCCATGGCTTTTAGCTGTTTGAGCCATGCATCTTGGAAAGCAACTCAGTGCAGAGTCTGGTTCTCCTGGGTTTAAGACTTGAAAGCATTACACTAAGGGTCTCAGCTCCATGTTTCCATGATATTGACTCCAAGAGTCTGTGAGTCCAAGGTTCTAGGATTCCATAGTTTCAGGTTCTTGTGGAGGTCCTGTGACTCTGAGACTGAGCATCTAGGAGTCCCTCCTTCCAGATCATACGATTTCCTCTTTCTAGAACTTCCTGTCTGCATCATTTCACTGTGGAATGTGGTTCTGGCCCAAAGAAAATCCCTGAGGAATTTAGGGCAAGGAGTAGCACAGGCAGATTATCTTAGCAGCCAAGACTGACCCTGCTCCTCCTCCTCTCAGGTCGAAAGGATGGTGGCTGCCAAGAGGCTGGGGAAGCAGAGGGGTGGCATGGAGGGGCCAGAGGCATATATTCGGCTAATATTAGGGGACAGGGAATACGGTTTGCTGGAAAGCATGTGATTTCCTGCCAGGACAGTGTGGTAAATCCCCAGATACCAATGCTGGGCGGTCGCCCTGAGAGACCATGGCTCCTTCTCCCCTTTCCGCTGCCTGACCTGTCCCTAAGAACACAAACATCCAGGTTGCCTGGGGCACTGCTGAGCAACTCTGTGGGCCCAAGCCTGGGTTTAAGGTTTCTAAAATACAAGGACAGTAGAAAAATTTTATTTGCAAGCCTTACTGCCTTTGGAAGGAAGTGGATCCTATTATTTAAAGGGCCCTTTTGTTTTGTAGAACCCAGGGAAGGATTTGGATCACAAGATCAGGGAAAGGGCCCTGGCTGGTGTGGCTCAGTGGATTGAGTGTCAACCTATAAACTGAAGGGTTGCCAGTTCAATTCCTGGTCAGGTCCCCAGATGGGGGCATGCAAGAGGCAACCAGATAATGTTTCTCTTACATATCAATATTTCCCTCCCTCCCCTTTCTGTAAAAATAAATAAATAAAATGTAAGTAAATAAAAATAAGATTAGGGAAGGGGTACGCAGGGGACAACAAGGCTCACACGTTCTGCATGTGGAAGGGGTGAGAGCTGGGTGGTCTTGGGGAGCTCCAGGAAGGGGGAGCAGCAAGGCCTCGCCCTGGATGGTGTGGCTCAGTGGATTGAGTGTCAGCCTGCAAACCAAAGGGTCACTGGTTCGATTCCCAGTCAGGGCACATGCCTGGGTTGTGGACCAGGTCCCCCGTAGGGGGTGTGTGCGAGGCTACCACACGTTGATGTTTCTTGCCCTCTCTTTCACCCTCCCTTCCTCTCTCTCTAAAAATAAATAAATTAAAACCTTAAAAAAACAAAGAAGAAGAAGAAGAAGGCCTCCAGGGAGGGTTAAACCTTAGGGCTTTGTGGGAGGAGCCACCAATAGGGGCCTTTGGTTGTGCCAGGCTCTGTGATAGGCCCCCTTATCTGTCTCCCTCATTTGAGTTCTGTGTTGTGTCTACTCTACACTGAGCAAGTAAAGCCAAGAGGGACTAAGTTCTGTATCCAGACTTGTGGTCACCTGAGCCAGGAAGAGAAGCTGAATTCTCAGGAATGGCAGGTGTCTTTCTCTCACCTGCCCTCCGCCATGCCTGCCTTCCTCCCCTCAGCCCCTACCTGAGACTCAGTGCCGCAGGTGTCGAAGCGGGCCTGGATCCGGAAGGTGCTGCCGACTTCCTGGGCTGCACAGCGCCGGCTGCCCAGGTAGACCTGGGTCTGCCCCAGTGGGGCCAGCGCCTCCGTGGAGATCAGGATCTGGAAGTCCGTGCGGGAGCAGCTCACGTTCATGGGCACAACTGAGGACAGGAGGGAGGAGCTGGAGGCCTTAGGGGCAGGCAGTCTGACCCCACCCTCCCAAGCTCCCACTCAAGGGTGGTGAATGGGAAAACCGAGCACAGAGTGGGAGTGGCTCTTTTGCAGTCCTACGGGAAGGCTCTATATGCATTACTCCATTGAATCCGTTAATGAGCCACCCAGGACGGGCCCCATGCCTGCTTCTCAGCAGCTTCTGAGCCTCACACAGAGCTTGGCAGGTATGGCAGATGCTGAATGAATGACTGATTGATTGAATGAGTAAATAAACAAGTGAATATTCTTAATCATAATAAAAGTTACTATTTTGCTGATTACTTTGCCATGTGCCAAGCAATTCATTCAATTGGTCAACAAATACTTACTGAGGGCCCACTATGTGCAAGTACTATTCTAAGAACCACAGACAGAGAAATGAGAAAAAAAAAAAAAAACAGCCCCAAAATTCCTGTCCTCTGGGAGCTCACACTGTAGTTGGGCGAGGGGACAATAAATATGTAAAATACACCTAAGCTTTGGAGTGGTCTGATAGCAAACCAGTCAAAGAATAAAGACAGAGAGCACTGTGTGTGTGTGTGTGTGTGTGTGTGTGTGTGTGTGTGTGTGTGTGTGTGTTGGGGGGAGGGCGCAGGTTGGAGGGGCAGCAGTTTTGAAAACAGCGGTGAGGGTATCCTCACTCTCTCCCCATGATGACCGCATGAGGTCAACGTGACTAAACTGTCCCCCCAGTTTTGGGAACTGAAGTTCTGAGAGGTGAAGCAGTTCGCAGTGGTTTAGATGGGATGGTAACCATCGGGTCTGAAGGATTCCGGAGGCCTGGCCTCCTCAGCCTACACGGGGCCCCTGCTCCCCACAGGCCACAGCGGTGTGATCAAATGTGGGGTCTGGGCACGCATGGGTGTGTGCACCTGTGTGTAGGGGGCCGTGCTTGCCGGGGCAGGGGTGAGCGTAGGGGAAAGGAACGGGGGGTGACCGGTGGGAGGAAAAGGAAAGAGCTGGCAGCCAGAGGCCTGGAACTCTCAACGCCTCTTCGGGAAATGCCTCAGACATATTTCAGCCTCTGGTGTCTGGGCAGTCAGGGATTTATGGGTCTGCCGTCTCCCACGATGATCTCGGTGGCGCTGAACTGTGTGTCACAACTGATTGATGCTGAGGCTGTCCTCTAGCCAGGAGGCCGCCTGCAGCCTGGGCCACATCTGGCGCATCGCCCAGCGTGAGTGCCCCTGTCTGACCCTGGGCTCCCACGGGGATCCAGGGAGGGAGGTGTGGTGTGGTGGGAGCGGGGGCTCCTGCCCCTGAACAGGAGCCAGGGTTAGAGCTGCCTCACCCTCCGTCTCTGGGACCCCCAAAGGAGAATGGGCTTCTCTGTGATCACACAGAGCTGGGAGAGGACCCAGGCCTGGGGCTAAGACTATGGGAGCTGAAAGGGACTTGAAATGTCCTCAGCCAATGGCCTCATTTTACAGGTGGGAAAGCTGGGACTCACAGAGAGAAGGTGACTGCCCCGCCAGCGGTGGCAGCGGCCCTGGCGCCTGGTGCCCGGAGTGTACCCCGAGAAGGGGACCCCTCTAACAGAGGGGCAGTTCTCTCCCAGTTTCGGGACAGAGATGACTGAGGCCCAGAGAGGGGGGTCTGTCCAGGCCACTCCTCTGCTGCTGGCTCGCGGCTGTGCTTCTGTTTCCTTCCCATCACTGGACCCCCAGCCCCCCCTATATACAAGGTAAGGAGAGAGGAAAGATCTTTCGAATGCAGGACAGGCCTGAGGCACATGTGAGAAAGGAATCCACCCCCAGCAAGGGATGGCCTCAGAGCCAGGCACTGGGACTTGTGTCACCTCATTTCATCTTAATGACAGCCTGTCTAGGGCATCCATCAACCCCTTTAACAGATGAATGGTCAGTAAATGGCAGCACTTGGATGTGACCTTGGTCTGTCTGAGCTCAGCAAGGCCTCCTCTGGGCCCTGCTCAGCCACACAGGAAGGCAGGGGAGTGAGTTCTAGTCTTGGCCGTGCCATCCCCTCTCTGCACCTTTGTTTCCGCACCTGCACAACAGAGAGCTGCCACATGGCTGGGCAGAGGACAGAACGGTCCAGGGCACAGGCATTTCAGGACCCACGGCCCAGGGAAGGGAGGAGAAGAAGGGAGAGATGTCAACTGGCAAATCTAACTGGCACTTTGGAGGCTGAAAAAGCTGAATACCAGTGTCCCTAGCCTCCTCTGCAGTTAGGCATGGCCACCTGACCAAGTTCAAACCAATGAGACCGAGAAGTCTTTTGACAGCTTCTGAAAATGCTTTTTGCTTTCCTGATAAAAGGACATTTGTGGCTGGCACTTCTCCTACCTTCTTCCAGCTCTTGAACATGGTAATGATGCCTGAAGTTGTGGCAGCCATTTTGCAGTAATGAGGCCACAAGAATCCTAGAGATACCGGCTGTGACAGGGGTGAGTCCCCGAACCTGTACAGAAGCTGCCGAGCTCCAGACTTCTCGTTATGCGAGGAAAACAAAAGCCATTTGTTTAAGCCACGGTCAGTCAGGATTTCTGACTCACACAAGCAAGGCTGGTCGGCATCTATGTGGTTATACCAATTATTTACCGTACATAATATTACCATATTTTGTATATTACCCCCGGATAGAGGACCAAGATGAACCACAGTATAAGAGAGGCCAGGGGCCAGTGGGGAAGAAGCCATCTGAGGAGGGATTAGGGACTGCGGAGTTGGAAGCTGCAACAGCAGCAGTAAGTAAGGGCCACACTGGCCCAGTCTCACAGGTCCCAGAAGAGGAGTCAGCGGCAGCAGAGCCACCCAGGAAGAGGTTGGGGGGACCAGTTCGTGGGTTGGAGGAAGGGAGCTGCAGAGACCTGGGACGCCCTCCCCACCCCCGCCCCGCACCTTGCCTTCCCGCCTCCAGCACACCCACAACCTCAACCACAGCCGACCTCCAATGTAGGCCACGGAGAAGCCCCTGCGGGTGGTGCTGCGGTCTGTGTGTAAGCGAAGCAGGAGCTGGTTGAGGCTGGAGGTGACCGGTGGTGGCAGGTGACGGCCGCACCAGCTCCCCAACAGGGGCGCCTCCTCGCTGGCCCCATCGAAGGCTGCCAGGTGGTCAAAGTCACAGGTCTTGGTCAGGCTGTTGGGCTCTTCCAGTTCCAGGTCCAGGAAGAACATCTTAACCCGGTAGCCAGGAGGCAGGCGGACGGTCCAATGGCATCGGATGTTGTTGGGGTAGGAGCTGGGGTACTGCGGGCTGGAAAAGTTGCCCCGCACGGCTGTGTACACCTCCTGGCATTCTCCTGGGGAGGAGCGGGTGGAAGGAGCAGTGGTGAGAAGGGTGGAGACTGTCATTTTCCGTAGTTACAGTTTGGGCAGCAGGCGCTATTGTGGTTAAAATGCCACACGGGCAGGTTGTGGGCACCATGGCCAGAAAACTAGACAACTGATCCCAAAGCCTGCTTTAACCTGAAATCAGCTAAAAGCTGGGAATCTCATTCCAATTGGCGCTTCCCTTTATGTGTGTTGGCTCTTTTAGGAATTTAAAAACAGTACCTAATACCGGTCCTCAGAGTTGGGTCTAAACTCGGAGGTGACAGACAGTGTGGTTCCTGACCTGTCCCCGCCCTTTTTTCTCACTGCCTCTCAACAGCCCCCACCTTCCAGGCGTGCCAAACATCGCCTAGTACTACAAGCAAAGCCCACCACACCCTCTCCGCCCTCCCTGCTGTTGCACATGCAGACCCTTGTGTTTGGAACACCCTACCCTTCCTTCTGCTTAATTAAATCTCTGCCTAATCCTCTCCTCTTCCAGGATGTCATCCATGATTCTTACGGCTACATAGCATAGGTCATAGTAAGTTGTCATTGTCTGTTTCTTTTTCCACCTCCCCTATAGATGCTGACTACCCCAAGTGTTCATTCGTTTACTTGTACAAACATTAGTTAAATACCTCCACATGGCAGGTACGAAGATAAGCCCATAGGAACTCACAGCCAGGCAGAGAAGATCAACAGACAACACATACAGAGCGATGTGTTAGATCATTGCTATGCAAAAACTTCTGTAGCGAATTGAAGGAAGGGATTAATTCTGAGTAAATCAGGAAGTATTCACAGAGGAGGTGACATGCTTATGCTTTGGCGTTGGCCTGGCAGGGAAGGGTGTGCTAGAGCATTCCAGGCAGAGAGAGAACAGAAAGCACAAAGCCCAGAGGCAGGAAAGCGTGAGCCTCTCCCCCAAAAGCACAATGCAGAGGCAGGTGCCCAGCATGCACGGGGCACTGGGGTGTACCTATCCCCAGTCTCTCCTACCTGAGAAGTAGTACGCCTTGAAGCCCCTGCCTCCGATGTTAAAGTCGGACTTAAAGATCACCTGCAGCTCGTGGCCCAGCGACACAAGGGTAGGGGGCCTGGCGTTGCCGCAGTAGTGGTGCCCACGGGCAGGGCCAGGCGCCCCGAGCACAGCCACGTAGTCATAGGTGCACTCCTCATTGCCTTCCACCTGGAAGTCGGCGAACAGCAGCTTGATGGTGGCAGGGCCAGCGGCCCGGATCACCCAGCGGCACTCCACATTGTTGGGGTAATTGTTTGGGTATTCGGGGCTGGTAAGGACCCCCGACAGGCCCGTCAGGACGCCACCACACACATCTGTAAGGGAACCTGGTTGAACTAAACCTTCTCCTTCCCCATGGCTCCATGATCCTCTCCTATGGAGACCAGACTCTACCCAGCATGCCACTCCCACAGTTGTTTCATGGGAACCTCGTTGCCACCCACCGAGCACTTGCTGACTGGCAGGGACAGCCCAGGCCCTTAGCACCTGCACCATCTTTTTAAACCATTACCATAACCCTATGAAGGATATGCAGTGGTTTTTCCCATTTACAGTGAAGAAAGTGGCGGCACAGGGAAGTTAAGTTACTTACCTGCGTGAGTTTGGGTTCACTTGGACCTTGAGACAAGGATCTGAGCATAATGAGTTATTTGGGAGATACAGGGGTCCCCATGTGGAAAGTGAGGGAGTGAGGGCCACTAATGGGGAGGGACGGGGAGACAGCCACTGAAGGGTGTTGTCAAGCTGCTGAGCCCTGTTGGGGAGCTCTGGGGAATGATGTGAAGCTGGGGGCAGAGATGACCAGTGGAGACTTCAGAAAAAGCCCTCAAGCAAAGAGATGAGGAAGCTGGCAGGAGCCATCAAAGTGGCAAGGCCCAAGGGACATAGGCAGGGCCCTGAAAGCAGGCCACTGGGCTAGTAACGTGGAAAACGGGGTTTGACTCCCTGCAATGCCTGTGCACTTGATCTTGTGATACTCAATGTCCCTCCGACCAGGCCAGTGGGGTGCAGAGGCTGAGGTGCCTGCTCAGAAGTGTTATTAAACCTCCCTAACAGGTGAGGAAACTGAGGCTTAGAGAGAGGATCTGATGAAGTAGAGATGGGCTTGAAGTCTGAAAACGGGGGTCTTCCCAACTCTGCCTTATGTCAGCTCTGTGCCCAGGGGGGCAAGTCACCCAGCACTATCTCATGGGAATATTAGAAATCATCACACTTGCCCAGCCTGACCCACGGGGCTGACTCGTGCAGACTCTGAGAAGACGATGGTGAAATCTCTTCAGAGCCCTACGAGACCAGCACAACCAGGAGGCGGTTGATGATGAGCGCCGTGACTGGCTGGAGACCACCAGCTGGGAGGGGTGCACTTGGATGAGTTTCCTGAGGCTCCAGGATCTCACCCCATGGCACGGCAGTGTGGACTGAGCACTGTGCTGGGGAGCTGAGGGCTTGACTTCTTGCCCCAGTGTTTGCCCCTCTGAGCTGTGTGACCGTGGGAAGGCACATTCTCTCTCTGCCCTCAGATTTATTGTTTGTGGAATGAGAGGGCAGGCTCTCACGGTCTGTGCGATCCCTTCCAAGGCCAACACCCTTAGTAGAGTCTTTCCAACTGTGCGCCGGGGCTCCACAGTGGCCTTCCAGAGCATCTATCTACAGCACCTGGTACAAATTCATTCTTATACTATATTCAAACTATTTTTTTAATGCAGTGAAATATATTCACAGTTACATGTCTTATATGTAAAAATTTAACTCATTGGCAGCCATGAATATTGACTTAGGTATGTTTTCAATGGCTTGCTATAAGTAAACTTTAAAAATATGAACTTACAAAACAAACGTAAACACTAAAATGCTGGCCACCTTTATCTCTCATATATCAAGGATTAACATAAGGTTCCATTTGATATAAGGGTACTAATGTTTTAAAAAATGTTGGGCCCTGAGTGGCATGGCTCAATTGGTTGAGCATCGTCCCACACACTGGAAGATCACAGGTTCAATTCCTGGTCAGGGCACATGCCTGGGTTGAAGGCCTGGTCCCTGGTTGGGGCGCGTGCAAGAGGCAACTGACTGATCCGGTTTCTCTCCACAACATTGATGTTTCTCTCCCTCTCTTTCTCCCTCCCTTCCCTCTCTCTAAAAATAAATAAATAAAATCTTCTTAAAAATAAATTTTAAAAAATGTTAAAATACAATGCCTATGGTATTATAGCTTTGGTATCTGAACATTCTAAAAATCTAAGGGTCTAAGATTCCAAAACTGTTATTAAATCAGTCTGTGATTCTAGCATTCTACAATTCTACGCCTCTAAAGCCAGAGAGAACTGGTGTTCCACCTGAGCCCCCTGATGTCGTTGGTGGACCCCGTGTGCCAAGAGCCTCGAGGGTTGTTTACTGCTTGAACTGCCATGAATAAGTTTGTGTAGAGAAGCTTAGGACAGAAGGAAGGAGCCAAGGAGAAAGGCAAGTAGAGCAGAGCCTCTGCTTCCCTCATTAGACTGAGGGGCAGGTTGTCAGCCTACTTGAAGGAGGAAGGGGTTAAGGATCCCAGATTCAAGGGGCGAGTCCAGGAAAGGCTTTGGGAGGGAGAGCATCACCAACTCCACACAGACTCTTGTGCCCCTTCTGTCAGACGACCATGAGGGTAGGGGGGAGTCATGTGCCCATGAAGTAATGGGATGCCACAGAGGGACGGCAGCAGTGACAGCATAGCACACCCTCCGGTGTCCTGATGCCAGGGCAAGGGGTTAGGAGGAGAAGAATGAAGAATATGACAGGCCTCGTTCCTGAACACAGTGAGGACTGAGACACAGTGAGACACTCCAGGGCTCCCAGGAACAACGAAGGAAGACATGCAGATTGTCGCCATGAGGATGGAGAGCTGCAACTTCCAAGACTACAGATGGAAGCTGCCTTTGCCCCGTGAGCTATGAGAGCAAGTCATCCAGCATACGGTGCAGCCCACAAGCTAAGATGCTGAGACCCTGCAAATCTCAGCTTTACCCTGCGGCCCTTCCCTGACCTCCACGCCAGGACCACCCTTTCCACTGCCAAGTCCCCCTTGCCTTTCTGGTAGCCTGCAGAAAAGCCGCGGCTGGCCACGTGCTTGTCTGAGTGGAAGATGACAGACATGACATGCCAGGAGGAGGTGAAGGGTGGCGGGGGCACCTGGCCGCAGAACCTCCCCAGCAGGTTGCCCTGGTCTGCTGTGGCCCCATTGTAGATCTCCAGGAAGTCAAAGCCGCAGGTGTCGTGGTACTCCAGGTCGAAGGCGTGGAAGGTGAGCAGCACAGAAGAGCCCTCGGCCACCACGATCAGCCAGCTGCACTCTGTGTTGTAGGGGTAGAGTCTGGGGAAGTTGGGGCTCGAGAAGTTTCCAGAAGGTGCTGAGAGCACACCCCCACATTTGACACCTGAGGCAAGAGGGAAGGATGGCTCAGAGTCAGCACAGAGATCTTGGGTGGTGGGCCCGGCTCCAAAGCTGGGTCTTTGGGATGGGAAGAGGGAGCATGAGGCTATGGTCCTAAATTAATTCATTTATTTATGTAGTTGTTCATTTATTTACCTATTCTTCATATATTTATCAAGCATTATTCTATTCATTCAACAAATATTATTTGAGTGTTAGACATTGTTCTAGGTGCTGGGGTTATGGTAGGAACAAAAGAGACGAAAATTCCTGCCTTCGTGGAATTTATACTTTGGTGGGGAAGACAAACAATAAACAGTAAGTAAAATACAGAGTTTATTAAATAGTTATAAATGCTATGGAGAAAAAGCAGGGAAAGGAGACAGTGTGTCAGGTGAGCCTATAATTTTAGACAAAATAGTTCCGAATGTCAGGCCCTAGATATGTGCAGGAGGGAATTTAAATTTTTTTAAAATAATAATTCCTCCTCTTCACTCTGAGTGAAAATGTGCACAATGTGCTATAATGTTAAAAGTATATTCTTATATGAACACATTTGCTTACAGTTTTAAAAGGAAAACAATGGAAGGAAATGAATAAAAGTGATTCTCTGTCAGGGGAAGGAACAAATGGGAGGAAACAGGCATGGCTGCTGGACCTCTTCAAATGCAACTTGTTTTATAATTTTGACTTTATAATTGTGAAGGATTTTTTTTTAAAGATTTTAGTTATTTGTTTTTAGGCAGAAGGGAAGGGAGGGAGAAAGAGAGGCTGAGAAACATCAATGTGTGGTTGCCTTTCGTGCACCCCCTGCTGGGGACCCGGCCTGCAACCCAGGCATATGATCTGACTGGGAATCGAACCAGTAAAACTTTGGTTCACAGACCAGCACTCAATTCATTGAGCCACACCAGCCACGGCTGTGAAAAATTTTAATATAATTTTTATATTATCAAAAAATTTTAAGTAACCCTTAAATATCCCAAACTGAAACAAATAAACTTAACTATATTCTCAAGTTGGAGGCACATTAATATTGAGAAAAATGATTTCAAATGACTTTGAAAGACACTACTTTGATTGTACATTCCTAGTGAAATATATCCCAAGGACAAAATAAACCACAAAGAAATCTTAAGGTATATACACTAAACTGATTATTAGTAATAATAGTAAATACTGTTGCTGTATTTTCTATATTGAAACAAAGCAGATATGTTAATGTCAACAGAAACTAAAAGTTTTTCCGGCCAAGACAGAAGTGTAGGTAGATATGCTTCACTTCCTCGCACAACAAAAAGAAGGAAACAACACATTTAAAAATAAAAAACAGCCCTGGTTCTTGTGGCTGAGTAGGTTGAGTGCTGGCCTGCAAACTGAAAGGTCACTGGTTTGATTCCCAGTCAGGGCACATGCCTGGGTTGCAGGCCAGTCCCTGGTTGGGGGCATGTGAGAGGCAACTGATTAAAGTTTCCCTTTCTCTCTCTCTCTTCCCCCTCTCTAAAAAATATAAAATCTTTAAAAACAAAAAACAACCAAAACTGCCAGAAAATTGAACTGTATGGAAGTCCAACAACCAAGGAGTTAAAGAAGAAACATTCATCTGGACTGGTAGGAGGGGCAGAGATGGGTAGCAGGGGTGGGGATGGCTAGCCAGGGTAGAGAGGATGCATGGCAAGGCAGCAGCTGGCAGATGGTGGGTGAAGCAGCAACTAGAAGACCAGGTGTTCTCACATTTGCTGGTGGATAAACCAGGAGGAACAACTGGGGAGTGAGACAGAAACCTCTAACTGTAAAAACCTTGTGGGAATTGTGGCAGTGGGAGAAACTGCCAGTCTCTTGAAAGTGAGGCAAGAGCGGAGCAAGCAGCATTGTTTCCTCTCTGATCCCTGCCAACTCCCTATAGCACCACAGTGCAGTGAAGTGGGTTGCTCGAACCCCAGCGAATACCTAAGGCTCCACCCCTTACAATGTAACAGGTGCTCCGAGACAAATAAATATAGCCCAAATGAAAGAACAGATCAAAACTCCAGACAAAGAACTAAGCAATAAGGAGATAGCCAACTTTTCAGATGCAAAGTTTAAAACACTGGTAATCAGGATGCTCACAGAAATGACTGAGTACAGTTGCAAAATAAGGAAGCAGTGAAGGTTATGCAAAGTGAAATAGAGCAAATTATACAGTGAACCAACAATGAAGGGAAGGAAACTGGGACTCAAATCAACAATTTGGAATAAAAGGAAGAAATAAATATTCAACCGGAGCAGAATGAAGAAACAAGAATTCCAAAAAAATGAGGAGAAACATAAGAACCTCTGGGACAACTTTAAATGCTTCAACATCTGAATCATAGGGGTGCCAGAAGGAGAAAAGGGAGAAGAAGAAACTGAAAAAATTTGAAAAAATTTTGAAAAATATTTGAAAAAATAATGAAAGAAAATTTCCCCAGTCTAGCAAAGGAAATACACATACAAGTCCAGGAATCCCAGAGAGTCCCAAACAAGTTGGGCCCAAAGAGGTATACACCAAAACACATCATAGGTAAGTTGCCAATAATTATAGATAAGGAGAGAATCTTAAAAGGAGCAAGAGAAAAGGAGAGTTACCTACAAAGGAGTTCCCATAGGACTACCAACTGATTTCTCAAAGGAAACCTTCCAGTCAAGAAGGGGCTGGAAAGGAGTTTTCAAAGTCATGAAAATCAAGTACGTACATCCAAGATTACACTTACCAGCAAAGCTATCATTTAGAATGGAAGGGCAGATAAAGTGCTTCCCAGATAAGGTAAAGTTAAAGGAGTTCATCATCACCAAGCCCTTATTATACAAAATGTTAAAGGGACTTACCTAAGAAAAAGAAGAATATCAAAACTATGAACAGTTAAATGACAACAAGCTCACAACTATCAACAACTGAATCTAAAGACAAAAACAAACTAAGCAAACTAGAACAGGAACAGAATCATAGAATTGGAGATCACAAGGAGGATTATCAGCGGGGAAGGGGAATAAAGGGAATAGGGGAAAAAGGCACAGGGATTAAGAAGCATAACTGGTACATACAGAACAGACAGGGGGAGGTTAAAAACAGTATAGGAAATGGAGAAGCCAAAGAACATATATGCGCGACCCACTGACATGAACTAAAGGGGTGGGAATGCTGGAGGGAAGGGGGGTATTGTGTGGAGGGGAGTAAAAGGGAGGAAAAAGAATAGGACAACTGTAATAGCATAATCAATAAAATTACTTTGAAAAAGAGAAAAGAAAAAAACTAAGTTTTTCAGTGTAACAGAAAAATGGTAGACCTATAGAATTTAAAAATTAAGTAAAACCCTTGTGATCCTGAAGGTGAATTGAAAACATCAGTATGAATTTAAGATTTTTTTATTCCTGAAAAATAATTTCCTAGTTATATGCACTAAAAAATCCTAAAAGTAATAACATTACAGCAGTATTTTGCTCCCAGGCCTTAGTTTAGGATTATTACATCCAACAAAAATGAATGAGGGCTTCTTAGAGAAACGATGGGTCTGGGGCAGGAAGCATACAAAATGCACTTGGGACATCCCGTCACCCCAGAAAGCAAAGAGGCCAGCAAACACTGCTGGAATTGTGTCAAAAGACCCGGGGACCTACTTGAAGGGGCTCCTACTGGCTAAAGAAGGTACAATTTGAGCACCAAAAGAGAATGATATGCAGTGGATTAAAACACATTAAATACTTAAAAATGCATGGAATCCATAATGCAACTCTAAAGAACTAAAAAAGAAACTCATTGTTTTCTTTAGGAGGTTTCTGGGGCACAAACTCATTTTTTTTAATTAATATGTAGAAACAGGAAGAATTAAGCATCTACTTTGCCTTTCCTGTTGTGTACTGTATTTTAGAATAACCAAATAGCTGATGAAGGAAAATTGTTATTTATAGTTGACTGAAGAAAGAATAAGCACATTAGGAAAATATAATTTTGCAAAACTTAATGAAATAATCATCTTCAGTGTCTGTTCTAATAACTGAGTAAAAAAGGTAAATGTGGTAAAACTTAGAAGCTTGGGTAGATAGGTACTCCCTGTACAAATCTTTCAATTTTGCTAAATATTGGAAAATTTTTATAATTAAAAAATACCAAAAAATTACTTTATAAGTAATAAAATGAAAAGACAACCTATAGAATTGGTGAAAATATTGAATTTGCAAATCATACATCTGATCTGGGTTTAGGGTCCAAAATATTAATTCATATAACTCCATAGCAAAAACAAAAACAAAAGTCGTATTAAAAATGGGCAGAGAAACTGAATAGATATTTTTCCAAAGAAGATATACACATGGCCAACAGGTACATAAAAATGTGTTCAACATCACTAATCATGGAAGTGCAAATCAAAAACACAATGCGGTATCACCTCATCATATTAGAATGGCTATTATCAAAAAGAAAAGAGATAACAAGTGTTCGTGAGGATGTGGGAAAGGGAAAACCTTTGTGCCCTGTTGGTGGGAGTGTAAAACAGTGCAGCCACCATACAAACAGTATGGAGGGTCCTCAAAAAGTTAAAATTAGAACTACCATATGATCCAGCAATGCCACTGCGGGGTATGCATCTGGAGGAAATGAAAACAGAGTATTGAAGAGTTTTTTCTCTCCTATGTTCACTGCAGCATTATTTATAATAACCAAGATATGGAAACACCCTAAGTGTCCATCAATAGAAAAATAGATAAAGAAGATGTGATATACACATTGTGTGTGTGTGTGTACACACATACATACAGGATCCGCCAGAAATAACGCCTGCTTGAGTGTGTTTGGAATGGCACATGAATGTCTCTCACGAGATGGATAGCAATTTGAACATTTCACCTAAAATGTCATATGGTGTGATTGAGTGTGATACTGTTATGTTACAGAATTACACGCTTATGATTTTGTAATAAAAGATTTTGTAATAACAATGAGCATTATTTGTGCTGGACCCAGTGTGTGTGCGCGCACACATACACATTAGAATTTTTAAAAGGCCATCCTTTCATTTGCAACAACATAGGTGGACCGTGAGGACACTCTACTAACTGACATAAGCCAGACAGCGAAAGACAAATGCTGTACATCACATATATGTGGAATTGAAGGAAAAAAGTCAGACTCATAGAAATAGAGTAGAAAAGTGGTTGCCAGGGGAGAATTCACTATACATACCTGGTAGAGATATATCTTCAAGTATTTATGGTGAAATAATATGTCTGAGATTGGCCTTAAATTGGTTGACCCTCTGGCCCCCCAAAATGAAGGGGGATAGAATAAAAGAAACAAGACTGGCAGAATGTTGATAATTGTTGAAGATGGTTGTTTGAGACAAAGAGATTCATTATGCTATTTTCTCTACTATGTATATTTGAAATATTTTTGTAATTAAAAGTTTAAAAAAAAACCCAACACATCTTGGTCACCTTCTCAGTGGCGCTTTCCCCAGCCATTCCATTTCAATGTAACCGTCCATCCTATACTCTTTCTCTACCTCATCTACTACATTTTTCTCTATAGCACTCACCATGACCCAATATACTGTATATTTTACTTATTACTTTGGTTCATTGTTAGGTTTTCTCCAAAAAATGTAAGCTCTCTGAGCAGGAATTGTGTTTTATTCTCTGCTGTCTCCGAAGCACCCAGAACGGTAGCTGGCAAAAAGCAGGTGCTTAATGAATGTTTGCTGAATGGACACGTGAATGGTCTTATATCATCCTCACAATAGCTCCATAAAATAGACAGACCAGATGTTACTGACTCCATTTTACAGATGAGAAAACTGAGGCCCAGAAAGGGAAGTTACTTGCTATAGCTCTCATCTATTGTTTCGGTCTTCCTAGCACCCATTTCTCCATCTCCTGCAACAACACACCCCCTCTTTCAGACACGGGCTCCCCTGCCTCCATGTGGTGACACCCCTACCACAGGACCCAGCTGGGCAATCCTGGGGCCCCCGCCACCACCACCGTGTCTGGCCTGCAAGGTGGGTCTGTACTAGGTCAGGCCAGAGTCCCGCTGCAGGGGACCTGGAGGAGAACCCTGTCCTCCCCGGTCCTCGGCTGGGAGTGAGAACCCTGGGCGGGGCCGTGCCCAGGGCCCACTGAGAAAGCTTGTCTGCAGATGGCGAGAACCATGTGAAAAGTGAAAATGACTCTGAAGCCAAGGTGCTCTGGCTGCAGGCACCCCTGAGCTTAGCTCGCTACACTCCCGCATCCCTGGTTACAGAGCCAGGGCATCCCTCTTCCTGTTTAAACTCATCCAGGTGGGGCTTGTCACTTGCAACCCAAACTGTCTTGAAGAATACCCTTCACCAAAGTTCCAAAGCTCCTGTGAGAGAAACACGCTCACCAAGCATGTGCCTTGTCCCAGGGCTATGCTGATTCATAATGGGCCCCTCCCTCCCTGGGGTGGGAGCGGGAGGGGGTGTCCGGCAAACGAGACAAAGCATGCGGTACAATGGTGCTGGGACCACACAGGGCTCCAGCGTCCAGAGGAAGGGAGGCCAGTCTTGCTGGGGCCAACACCACTGGGGAAGGACGAGAGCACAGAGGAAGTGATATTTGAGTTTGACTGCAAGGGACAAGAAGTTTTGTGAGTTGGGAAGATTTGCAGAGAGAAAATGACACGAACAAAGACTCAGGCTCATTGCCACTTATCCTCCTGAGCCTCAGCCATGCATCTGGGGATTGAGGACAATGACACCTCCCTGGAGGGGTAGCTGCGAGCAGGGATGATATAGAGCCATGCAAGGCCTGCAAGATGTGCGCCTGGTTCACATCCTCTACTCCCTGCCTGGCCCCTGGAGCAGGCCAGGCTGGGGTGGTGTCTGATTCATGCTTTTATGGCAGGAGGGCAGAGGGACAGTTTGTCTAGTAGCTGTCCTGTCCCTCTCCCAGCCCTGCCCAGAAGACAGGACACGCCATGACAGAGTCGGAGCAGAACGCCCATGGCCCAGGTCTTAGCCAAGCACCCTGACCCCCAAGGCCACTCCAAGGCCACTGAAGCCCAGGTGGGTGGAAAATGGGACCAGCTGACTCCCCCCACTGCCTCGGTGTGGAATGAGATGCCTGGGTGGCCTGCCCATCTGTGCCACCAACTAGGTGCCTGGCACGTTATGTTTCCTTCCTGAGCCCCCCTTGAGCCTGTAGGAAAAGGAGGCACTGGTGGCTGATCGCTGAGCCCAACTGCGTGCACGCCCCTTGACGGTGAAACGAGACTGCCCTCAGTTCACGGACACACACACTCAACTCAAAGGAGTGGCCTGGGACCAGGTGCTGGCAGAGGGTTCTGGGAGCATCTGAGGATGCAGAAGGGGCACAGACAGCTTCCTGGAGGAGGTGGTGTTTGACTTTAGTTTGGTGGGTGAGCCAGATGTTCTCAGGTGGAAAAAGACAAAAGGGACCCTCCAGACAGAGGAGCCCCTGGTTGAAAGGGGTGTGACCTTCCGTCAGAGCACAGGATGCCCTGGGGACACAGGGCACCGAGGCTGGACATTGCACAGAAACCGGAGCCTGGCTGGGAGGGCACGGAATGCCACCATAAGGAACTCTGATTTCACTCGGCTGGTAGCGGGAGCACCGGCAGGCTCCGGCTCCCAGGAACCGAAGGAAGGCTCCTTCCCGCAACACACCTGTACTAGTTCTCTGAGCCATTCCCTTTGCCCTCGGTAACTGTGCATCCTTGGGTAGATTACTTAACCTTTCTCACCCCCGGTTTCCTCATCTGTAAAATGGGGGACTAATACCCACCTTGACATTTGTTGTGAAGATTAAATGTAATCATAAATGTAAAGTATCCAGCACACAGCAGGCACTCCGTATATATTGTCTTTCCCCCCGTCTCAGAAGCAAACACATCCTCAACTCAGCCAGCTTCCCCAAAAGGGCTGCCTGCTCTCTGGTCTCCCACACAGAAACCTCCTGAGCCCCCACCGCTGCCTGCCCACCCCTCTCCCCCTCCTCCCCACTCCTGTCTGGCACCAGGAGCTCCTACCTCTCATGGCTCGGGCCCTGGGCCCTGGGCCCAGCAGCGCCACTGCCAGCAGGAGACAGACCGCCAGCTCTGTCAGCATCTCCTCACGGGGCCCCTGCAGGTCTGCAGGCCAGGGTCTGAGGGTCGGAAACAGGGGAAGGCGAGGTGAGGCTGAAAGGGCCTCCAAGTTAATGGTGGTGTGAATAATTCATTGGCCCCTCGAATTAGTAAGCTGATCCCCAGGTGCTTCCCTCACTCCACCCTAAGGTGACGGATCTGGTGTCACCGGGTTTACACGTTCTGAGATCTGCACTGGCTGCACTGCATCAGGGAGGGAAGCGAGCTGGGGGCTGGGAGGGAATGTGGGGGTGGAGAAAGGGCACGAGTCTGGGGCTAGACACGTCTGGGATCCATCCCAGGTCAGCCTCGAACTTGCCAGGTGACTGAACAAGTCACTTAATTCCTCCGGGTCTCGGCCTTACTCACCTGTCCAGTGGGACCATTCAGCCCTGCCAGTAGGGCTGCTGTGGAAATGAAACGTGATACATAGGCTGAAGCACATAGTGAGCACTCGCTAGAGATATTTCCCATCCCCCATTCATGGGGGACCTGAAGGAAACCTCTGATTAGAGGGACCAGGGGGACCGTCATCCTTCAGACACCCTTAGGTTAGCTCAGAGGGAGAGCGAAGGAGGTGGCAGTGGGCCGCTGGCGAGGGAAAAGCCTTTGTCGTGGAAGAACACAGCAGGAACGACAGAATGGGAGAATCGTATTGTGCCATTCCTAACACGATCATGGATCAGGGCCACGGTGTAAATTCTGGCCAAGAATATCAAATGTTCACTCCTTTATTGATTCACAAACCTTGCTTGAACAGCCTTATGACGAGTCAGACCCCGTGCTCGGAGCAAGGCTGCAGAGGTGCCCCAAGGGCTCAGTGTCCAACAGGAAACAGGATCTTCCCATTTCCTCTGGGAGCCCTGTGTGGTTCAGCTCGGCCCAACGCTTACTTCCTAAGCTCTTCTGCTCAGAGCCTGCACCAGACACAGGGCATCTGGGGTGAAAAAGGCACATTCCTGCCTCCCAGTGAGGAGCCTGGGCTCCGGTTGGATGAGGTCTGAATACTGGCACCTCCCCCAGCCCCTCGCCACCGCCCCCCCCCCCCGCCCCGCCCCGCCTCTAGGCTGTGGGAGCCTGGGACAGTGAATGCAGCCTCTCTGAGGTGCAGCCTCCTCGACTACGAGACTATGAGGCAGGGCGATGCGGTGGCTGCAGTTGCTGTGAGCCATGAAATGATGTATGGGAAGCCTTAGCCTGCTGCTGGCTCAGTGCTTAGGAGAGTATGATTTTTACTTACCTCAGAGGAACTCAGATGTCCATCTGCCAGACCTCATGTTGCCTCTGGCCCATCCTTTTGTCAGGAGGTCCCCAGGGAGCCCTTTGCTGCCAGCGTGGGAGGCCACCTGGAAGGTGTTCAGCAAAGAGCATCAGGAATAGTTAGGCCGGAGGGATCTGCTTACCTGTGGGGCTTGATTGGCAGGAACGGAAAGGTTCAGCTGTCCTGGGGCCTGAGGGGACAGGTGCTTGTATAAAACAACCACTGTGTGTGAGAAAGAGCTAGCCCAGTGCCTACTAGGTGCTGGCGCGGCGCTAGGAGCCTCACATACAACACGCATATGGGAGACTTCCCACCCTCCAGAGGACAGCCTGAGGCTCAGAGGGTTCAAGCCGCTGCCTCGGGCTGGGTCATTCCACAAGAAGACCTTGTAACAAGGACTGATACCAGAAAAGATCCCAGTCACACAGGGGTGGGCGTGGGGAACTGAGACAGGGAAGAAAATAAGCCGGTTCTGGGTGTGTCAATGAGCAGCTTGCTGTTGTGGGCAAATGAGGCTGGACCCTCACGAGCACCTCCAGAGACGGTGTAGCCTACAACCCCACGTTCTTCCACTGAGGGGTGAGGAAGCAGAGTGCATGTCTGCCAACTGCCAGCTGTCCCTGGGCGTAGGCTGCTGAGGGCAGCCCCCCTGGGCACCGCCAGCCTGCCTGTGAATGGAGTTGTGGTCCAGGGCTTGCAGGCATCTGCATGCCTAGGAATGGTGAGGTGTCACAGCATGTGGGCAGGGCCGTGACAGCTGTCAGCCGAGCCACCCATAAGACTGCTGCTATTATTGTGACAAACCCCTGGATTTGCTGTCTCTTGAATTGCTCACCCCTGAAACATTCATTACACCCACTAGAACAACAACCTACGTCTCTTCCCTCACTCTCTCACACACTCTCAGCACTTTGGTCTTTTGTCCCTGCAGTTCTGCGCCCACCTTGCAGACCCCTTGCCCCATCTTCCTTCTTAGGCTTAAATTCAAAGGTCAGGGTCATCCAGCCCTCCTTTCATGACGTCGGCTGGACAAGCCCCGCTGGCCACATTCTCCCTGTGTGTCTGGACCACTGCTGGGCAGACTCCTGTTACCATGTAGTCGGCACAGCAGCAGTTCATGGTCTGCAGCCTCTTCTAAGCTGTCAGTCCCCCCAACTTTCCATGTTTCCTTAGGAGGTTCTTTCTCACATTCTCCACACACATTATCCCTTATGGTCACCAGTCTCTTGGAGACAGTGCATCCCAACCTCCCCCTGCAGATGACCTCACCCCTTACTATGGAGCAAAAAGGCAACTCAAAAAGTAGAACCGCTTCATTTCCACAGATGCTCCAGCACCCTTCTCTCCAGCTGCAGGGAAAAGTAGTCCCACCTCCTGCCCAAGAGCAAATCCTTCTGCCTCTACAGAGCCCACCGCTTTCCCTGGCTCAGGGACCCGGCTCTCCATTAGCTCGCCCCTATCTGCATAACCTCAGCCCCTCCTGCCTGTCTGGCTTTCTCCCATCCACAGTTAAGCACGTGTAGATCTCTCCACCCTGGGGGCGGGGCGAGGGGCTGGAGATGCAAACACTTTCCAGGACCTGTCTCTCCCCCAGCTCCCACCGCATCCATCGTCCATCGTCTGTGGGCTGGCAGCCACAGCCAAGCTTCCTCTTCCCTTTCTCACTTCCCCTCCCTGCTCCAAGGCCTGCTGGGTGGCACTGTAGACAAACTACAGGGTCTGGCCGAAGTTAAGTCCTGCTTGATTGAGCGTGTTTGGCAGGGTAATAATAGGGGTGTAATAATTTATAGTTTTAATTTGAACATTTCACCTACAATGTCATATTGTATGCTTGAGTATGATACTGTGATGTTACAGAATTAGTGTTTATGATTTTGTATATAAAAAAAAGGGGGGGCGTTATTTGTGTCAGACCCTGTATATTTGGTCACTAGAAAATTCCTGGTCACTAAATCCTATCAGGATGTTGCTCTTCTACTAAATAAACGACATGCATTCAAATCCCATCTCAAGGCCAACTTCTGGGAGAGCTCAAACTAAAACACATGCCTGGCCTAGAACATCAGGGGCAAAGAAGAGCAGGTCACCATGACTGGCTTATCCCCGAAGACCAGGCATGTTGCTACCTCTAAAATGCGGATTTGGTTAGCGAAGAGCAAGGCAAGGATGGCTGTGGGGCTGGCAACCGATGGGAACCGCCAGAGTGCCCTTCAGGCCCCTCAAAATTAACCGCTCCCAAACTAAACTCATAGTCTCCCCCCAACCCCACCAAACTCCTCTGGTGTGTCCTGTCCAGGCGGTGGCACAACCAAACCACCAAGCAGAGACGTAGGGGCTGCTTTGACTTCCCTTCCTCTCATCCCCACATCGGCGGTCACACTTGACCTCGGTCACCACTGTAGGCTCTGAAACGACTTCCGAACCATCACTCGCCATGTTGTCACCTGCCTCCTGCGTTACGGCAGCAGCCTCCTCACCGCCTCTGCTCTCGCCTGCTCCCTGCCCGCCTCAGACCACTCTCTACTCTAATCTCTCTAAACTGTTCATCTGACCATGTCAGTCCTCTGCTCAGGATAAAATCCAAAGTCCTCTGCTTGGCAGTCAGGCCTCTTCAGGACACTGCCCCTCCCCAGACTGTCCCTGTCTTGAGCTCCACGTCCCAGCCCCCAGGTTGGTCTCCCACGTCTCCTCACATGCTGTGCCCTGAGCCTGGGTGGCCCTCCTTTCTGCTCCACCTTCCCCTGACAGACTAAGTTCAACCTTCAGGACATTGTCACCTCCTCCAGGAGCTGTCACAACCCCACCCCAAGCTTGGAGAGTGTCCCTCCCTGGGTGCACCCCCGGCACCGAGAGGCCCACCTGCGCTCTGGCTGGTTTTTCTGTGAATACCCTTTGTCTTCTCAGGCTTTCATTCCAGCGCCCAGCACTGGGCTTAGCCCAGAGCACAAACACTTGCCTCTGTCCCCCCTGCACACCCTCCCCTGGCACATCCTAAGTGCTCAGCTGCCATTTATGGATTGAACTGCTCAAGGGCACACAGCTGGAAAGCATCCTATCAGTTTGAGCCCATGTTTATCTTTGGACAAAGCACAAGCGGCAGGACGGCCTGCTGGTTAGGCATGGAGCTCCTAGACCCAGGACCATGTGGGTTCAAATCGAGTCCCTGGCATTTACTGGCTGTGTGATGCTGGACAAGCCACTTGGCCTCTCTGGGCCTCTGTTTCCTCACCTGTGAAATGAGAATGGCATCTCCTTGTTGGGTGCTGTGAGGATTAAACGGGTTGAGATACGTGGGGCGTGCAGCAGAGTGCCCGCCCCTAGTAAGCTCGGCTGCACGTCTCCCCTCATCCTGCATTCCAGCTGTGTGCGCTCCGAACGCTATGCTGACCTCAGGTCTTCTTGCACTTTTCTTTCTAACTCACCTGTCCTTGAAGTCACCTCTGAGTGAGGCCTCCCCTACCTGGCTGCCCCTCCCTCCAATCAGCAGCCTTCTCTCCTGGTCCCCAGGGGAGGTGGAGAAGCAACAATGTTGCCGTCACCTGCCCTCCAGGGTCACTAGGAAGTATCTGAGCTGCTCACAAGACAGTCAGCCCCAGGCACCTGAGGGCCTGCCGGTGAGTGTCCCCTGAGCGCTGAGGACCCACCTCAAACTTCCAGGGGTGTCCTGGCAGAGAGATGACGCTCCTCTCCATGGCTGGCTCTGCAGCATCCCAGAGCTCATG